GCGACGTGCCACGTCTTCTCCACCTATAGTTCGGAGTTCGGACTGTGCTTCTTCTAGCACTGGTTTATGGAGGTCTTCGACAGCTCAATGAAGCTCGGTCGTAATTTTAATGCAAACTGACGGAGCTCTGACTCGATGATCTTTTGCAGCTGCCTAGTGCCTAAAACTCTCAGCTCAGAATCCCATCAGCTCGGTAAAATTCGATTGGACGTATAGGACTGTAACAAATCCGTGACATTCACCGGTGCATGTTCCCTCAGCTGCGCCTCAGCTGTAGGTGGCATTCAGCCTGTCTCTGTGCTGTGTTCCGGTGCCACACCATACAGCGGACTACCCCTGTAAAAACGAAGCTGGTCGGGCGGCCGGTGGAGAAAAACGCCGCCGACGCTCCTTTGCAGGCGGCTGAACGTTCCTCTTCAGACGGCTGAGGGACAGCACCGTGACACTGGGGGTGGGGGTCACCGAAAACACGACACACAGACACACCAACCCGGGCTGGTCGGCTCTTAGATGTTGCTGCAGTCCTTACAAGGGAAACCATGACGCTCCGTTTAGAACTGATTTTATTCAACATCTCGGCGTCACTATGTATGCCGGCAGTCTTTAAAAAAGCATGATAATTTCATTCACCATTTTTGCATATTGCGAAGTTACGGGTAATGCAAAATTACCATTATTGTTTACATATCATTGGGCAATGATCTTATTTTAGCGAATATTCGCACTAACTGTCCGTTAAGAAGAAAGTTAAGCACACATTTCAATGCGCGATCTACTGCTCCGTCCAAATATCGTGACGCCAATATTGCGAGACGAGTTCCGGGAGGATGAAGGTGAAACACCGCACCGCCGACCTTCACTGGTGCACGGTACTGCCAAACTATCACCCCACCATCTCCCGCCTCTAGCAGTTCGTGCGAGCGATACCGTATAACAGCTCCGAGGGCACGACTCCGGTTCGATAGAATGCTGTTTATCATCTCTATCCTCAGCTGAAACACGAGCGCTGTTTTTGAAATGGGTAATCAGCCAGCGTTTGACTGCCTGCCTTTTGTGCTTCTGAGTGGCTAATTGGCGCCAGGCAGCACAACTCTTACAAGCAGCAAAGGTCATGGCAATTCAGACTACTTCTCGTAACGGAGCCTCCATTACGCGTAAACGCGCTGCCTTTTCATGCTAATTAGGCTCCGAACGACGACAGGGATGCCGGTGAGGTGCAGGTGTTGTCGTTAGCCTACACGCACTTAGAAACAGGTTATACTCCAATTATGTACTACTGTGCATGTTCAGCAAATGTATGCTATGGCGTGTTGGACTTTCTCCCCGTGTGGGATGCTCCTGTTACCGTTTACGATCGTGCAGACCGGTTCAGTCATCATGACCCTGGTCTGCTGGCCGTATCCCGGCCCGCGCTGGCGGCTCGCTGGGCTCGTCCATCCACACAATGTGCCATAATGGAATAAACAGGAGCCGCCGGCCGCCGCTCCGCGATGACTTAATAGCTGCCGATACAATCGTATCGTGTAATGATCTCGGCTAGCCGACCTCCCGTAGCGGCGGCGCGCGACGCGCCGCGTCTCCGCCGTAGCCGCCGACCAAAACAAGGCGCCGCGCCTCGGACGGGCCGCCGCGCCGGCCGCAGGGTCACACGACGGCGCCGGCGCGCTCCCACACCGCGGTCAGGTCGGGTCACCGGTGCAAGGTCGGGCCCGCGGCGCCCGTTAGGTGATGGGTTGGGAGCGGCGCGGGTGCCGCCGGAGCCGAGACGTGAGAGCGATCGGAGCGTGAGCTGGCAGTCGACAATGCCACCGATTGGACTCGGCGCTGGAGAGGGTTGATAGAAGGAGTGATTGGTGGTTGGAGAGTGGCACACAATGCCTGATGAGAGGGTGGCAGTGACATAGATTCCGTCTACACTGCTGTGAGTGAGGTCACCAAGAGACTGGCTGAGACCACACTCAGATGAAATCTGGATACTGGAGGCTTCTGTCTTCACAGTTTGGTCCATGGCCTGCACGACACTTGCAGTTATGCTGGACAGCAGCCGTTTATAAGTAGGCATCATGCAAACTCGTTATCACGATTCATAATTGAAGTATTATACGTTATCAAATGACAAGTTGATTTGATTAAATTTCCTGGATTAATGTTAGGGTTTTTGAAGCAAAATTATGGAAGACTGTGCATCTGGGCATTTGATTGTCGCGTGAAGCTGCGCTGTGGACCGAAAAAAATACCAGTAGCCGTCTACTCGCATGTTGACACTTTCTTTTCCTTTTGCCGTTGAGTCCACGAGAAACGCTCACATTGATCAACGGGAGTCTAGAGCATATTTACACTTTCTACTGTGCCTCATTCAATGTGCTTCTCGAGAGCCGAACTCCTGAATGTCTTTTGAGATCGTCAGGATTCGAACGGAAAATCGTGTGAGGAATCTAGAAACAAAACTTGGTGTTTTTCTTTGTGCCAGAAAATCCTAATTTTCTCTCGTTCAATCTCAATTCAGGGAAATCGAGTGCCCTCGAATTACGTGCTTTAATTTCATCACCACATTCACTTCGTTGACCTGCATTTCCCGTGATTGGAATGGCAGCAGACGCAGACGACGATCACCCATGAAAATCAGGCACCACTAATGCCCCAAGAGGCCGCTGGCGGCGGTCCTAACCACAGAGTGGTGACCGGGCGGGACCGATTCCCTGCTCGGGGGATGACGGATGACGGGCCGGCCGGCTGTGGTCACCGGCACTGACATCTGCCTGCGGGTCAGAAGTCAAGGTCGCCCGCCGACCACCCCGGGGCAGAGAGCTCACCTCCTCCCTCCTCCCGACCGCCACGCACCGCTATTTAGCAAGAAACCGCGGAAATGTGCGGTGAAAGTGGCCGCCGTGCCGCCGCCCGGTCCGTCTGAGACAATGCTGGCCGCGGTGTTTGCGTTGAAATGGTGGGCGCTGTGAGGTAACCCGGCGCCGGGTCACCGCGCCGGGTCACCACGCCGGTCAGGGGTGGCGACCCGCGCCACTGACCTGCGGTCTGCCCGCCCCTCCCCCGGTCACGGACATCCCAGCCGCCGAACGGAGCCGACATTGAACTCCGTCCGGCGACAATGGCAGATAACATTCCGGCGGTGAGGTCGTCCCAATGACCGCCGTTATGAGCCACATCTTCTGACCCGAGGTGTTCCAGTGTCGCTCGTGCCCGTCGTGACCGTGAAGCGAGGTTCTGTCGTGTCACCGTGTGAAGTTCGTCCCCGACCAGTCATCCTACACGGCACACCACACTGGACACTGAGTCTCTCCCCCCCCCCCCCCCGGCGCGGCGGTAGCGGCGTGTCATGGCGCGGCTGGTGGCGTAATACCCCCCCCCCCCGCCCCCGGGGAGGAGGTGCTGAGGGTTCCCATGACGATCCACCCGGGCGCATAGCTTCCCATGACCCGCGGGGCCGGCAGCCGCGGAGCCATGGAGCGGGCTGGTGTCGCCAACACGACTGGTGATATGTTCCTGTGAACGGGTGCAGTCTCCGGCAGAATCGGTGTTAGGCTGCTATGTAGCGCTACAGTCTCCATGGTAGCTAGTGGTTTTGTCTTGTGCGTCGCTGCAGTCTCCATGGAGTTTTTGTTCCCAGAACCCTTCTTCATATATCACACGATAGTGCCATATTTACTTGCAAGTAATGTAAGGTTGATCTTATACGAACAGAGCCAATGGAGAAGAAAAACAACAGAACCAATGGAGACCAAAGAGAAGTCACTTTATACCTATGTCTTTTCTTTTCTTTTTGTCTTCGGCGACATTAGGCGTGTTAGACAAACTAAAAAAGCAGACAAACCCAAGCATGGTCAGTTCCCAGCAATAATGGGCGACATTCCAATCAATGTGTCACCTCCTCCAATTCTGATTCATTCTTTTGCGGTGCATCCGTGTCAAGGTCGCTCCCACCCTCGTCCGACGCCACACGCGCGCACCTTTCGCCGCGATCGGTGTGCGTTTTGCGCCACTTGTAGCACGCCACGCCGCTTCTCGTCTTCCCATGGCTGGTCGGTAATGATGCGGCGTGGTGCGGCGACTCGCGGCCAACAATGGCGCATTGTGCTGCTCCGCGGAGTCGCGAGCCCGGAGGCGGTTTTTGCCGGGGGAGCCAAGAGACGACCCCGCTGTGACTATACCCTAACGGCCGGATGAGTCAAATTCGGCCACATCAGACGCTATTATGTTCGCGAAAGGACAAGATTGATGATAATCGGTTGCAGCGGGCACTGGTAATCGATGTAATTCATACTGGGATCATGATTATAAGGATTTCAAGCCTGATTATCCACATCGCCCAAAGTGCGGCACTGGGGCTTAGGTAGAGGCGTCATTACCGACAATCGGCCATTATATTCAATCCTGCGCTCACGCTACAAGCCGTTGAGCCGGCCTCTCTAGTATCTATCCCAGAAAGGGAAAGCTCATTTGACGGCATACCGTTCTGCTTCATTTGCGGTTTTAATGTCGGGATAACTATACGGCCGGGCTCGGCGGAGACGTATCATCAGACGAGGCCGGTACCTGCCGCCGCCACCGACCGATTGGTGGTCTGGGCTCGCATCGGCCCATCTCGGCCGTGAGGGACGCGGCACAAACAGGCCCTCAACGCAGCGCGCCGAGGGAGGGAGGGGGCTCACTGCAGGGAACATCACCGACCTTCACGGAGATTCCAGGGAGCGTGAGCACATCACTTCCTGTGAACGTGATCCGGCCACACTGCCTGTCACTGCGGTCACGTAAATTGGTCACTTGGGTCACTGCTAATAACCGTTGCTTGTCACCTTTGGTTCGCTATTGGTCATGTGATTCTGCAATTGGCCATTTCGACCACTACTTGTCATATGACTCAGCTCAAGGTCCCAAAGTGACATCCGTTATTCATATTTTTGTTGCATAATAGAGTACCTATGGCAATATGTGTGTAACATGTTTGCTGCCTTTCTGCTGTCTGACGATTGAATTTCTTTCAGCTCGATCGGGAGCAGCCGGAGGAAATCGCCTCGGAGAAACGGTCGGCATGGCGGCACAAAAACTAGGTAAGGACAACGATAAATGAATGTTGTGGCTTGCAAAAACTTTCACGTTAAATTTTCACTTATTCGCCCATCATCTGACTACTTATAAGTTTCCCTCGCCACAGTCTTTGTGTAACTGAAAGCGCGCATCACAACACATATCCATTTGCACATGATTTCAATTGATAAGATATTTGCACCGGCCACTGATTGTAAAAAGCATCTACACACCTTACCACACTTTTCCACACCTCTCATTTTCAGTAGCAGCCCTGAAACTTTGAACGGCGAACTGCGGTAGTTTACAATACTGTTATATGCCGTAGTCGGTGGTAATTAGGCAGTCGACGCACCACCTCAGCGGGCGGGGACGGCAGAATACGCCCCCGTTAGCACTTAGCACACCGTTGTACACGGCACCATCCCAGGACACGCCGTGTAGCTCCGGCGCTAATGACGGGTGGAGAAGGTTACCGCCGGCGTGGATGTTCAGCTGCCCAGCGAACAATACTCATTATGACGTCCGCATGAGTGAAAGGTTGCGTAGTTCTTGTAGGGGAAGCGGGGGTAACACCGCCACTGTGGGAAACACCGCCACCCCATCTGGCGGCGAAAGTATGAAATGTGAAGTGTAAAAATCCGTTATTTCCTATTGACCGCACGAAGGTAAGCGTCTTCTGATTTGTGTTCCGGTGTTTCAGTGTAATCGAAGCTCAATGTGGGCATTTAAAGAAAAATGCACATTCTCTTATAAAAATTCGATGAGTTGGGAGCACTTTTGAATGTCTTTAAGTAGAGACTCATTTTGATTTACTTGATTACATCGAAAAATAACTGATCGGCTTTGTCCAGTAAGATAAGTTTGCTTGAACCGTGTAGTACATTCTTACCGCTGGCGATTTTTGCTTGTGATCATTTATTGGGGAACACCGCCACCCCGTGGCGGTGTTACCCCAATTGAGGTTGCGGTGTTTCCTGTTTGTAGCGTGATAAGTGATGAAACTCCAAAGACACGCTTTATTTATGTTCGCAGATGTTCCTAAGTCGGGAATAAGCAGCTTATTTGATTTTTTACTTTATATTTTTCATGCATCCCGATCAAGCACTTGCCAGCTGTATAAAACTGGCAAACAGCTGATGAACCTATACCTATTTAGGTGTCCATTACCGATTATTTGCGAAAATTACCACTTACCGACAGGAAACTCATCGCACACGATCTCTGAACAATTAAAAGCTTTCGTAGGAATGGGTTGGGTTAACATCAACACCGGTGGCGGGGCCACACACTTGAGATGGCCACACAATTTGTAGGCAGCAAATATGCAAGGTATTTTTAAAAGTCTGAATACATGAAAACCTTTTAGGAGCATGCAAAATAAGTACCTAAAACACGTGAGAAAATGTTTAAATATTGTAACCAAAACAATAACTACCAAGAGACTTCACACATATTCTCTCATTTTGGCGAAAAGCTTAGGGGGGCGGTGTTACCCCCGCTTCCCCTAATGATGATGGTGCTTTGCGTGATAATAGTCGGTGTGTGCTTACCGTTAACTATTAAAACGGTTCTGCACGAGCGATGCTGCCAACAAGCATGCTTCTGAAACTTAGGCTCTTTTGCATTACACCTCTAAATGCAAATCTTCTGCCGTATTCCGAAATTTTTAAAAACGTCCCATAAAATACGTATGCCTACATTTATTCACATAAAATGCTAAATATACGTTAACCATTCATATTACCCGAGGTGACCTTATCAAATGAGCTCGAGAGGAGCATTCCAATTCGCTCAGTCAATCCTTGCTGGTTGGCGCCTTATACCATCAACGGCGCTCGGTACAGAGGGCAATCTCTCGGACTCACTGATTGTATTAGGCAATCAATCCACTTGTGGTATGGTCTATTCCCTGAACCGCAAAGTCATTATGCGGGCGCGACCCCGTCGCGGCTATCAAAATTTAACGGAGGCCGTGTGAAAGGCCAGAGTCAACACCGCTCCATCGCCGCACCCATCTCTACCGTTCTGTGGCCGTCAGTCGATCCAAGGCGGTCCGACCGTGACACACTGCAGACGGTCACTGTGACACTACAGACGGTCTCTGTGACACACTACAGACGGTCACTGTGTCGCATTTTGGGAGGCCATTGCAACATACATATTGCCGTCGAGGTGTGACTGATGGTTCTACGCTCATTGTTATGTAGCAGTAGTAGGTACCGTCTGCAACTCATCATAGCCCGTCACCATTGTCCTCCGAAGACCATCGCAATGTCTTGCCACAGCCGTCTCCAGTGTCGACCACGTCCACATCCCATCACCACCACAGCTCATCACGATCATCAGTCGCTGCCATCGCGAATCCTCACCACAGCCCATCACCAGTCCATAACAGCTCATCACCAATCCAAACCAGCCCGTCGCCACTCCACTCACCGACCAGTCCAAGCCAGTCCGTCAGCAGCATTCACCGCAATCCATCAGCGGTCCTACCGCATCCAATCACCGCTGTTTACCAATGTTCCCACCCTCCAAACCGCCCGGTCACGCCGCGGGGGTAATGCGACCGCCACCGCCGCCGCTGCCTTCCGATCAGGTGCCGCCCCCGCCCCCGCCCCCGCCACGGATCGCCGCCAATGCCGCCGTGGTGTCGTCATCTGTCATCGCCGCGCCATTCACGCCGGGCACGCGCCGCTTCCGCGCCCGGCGCGCCGCGTCTGTAGCGGAAAACGGGGGGACTGCACATACAGCGCGGGAACGACGGCGGGAACACGGTGACGGAACACAAAGCTCTCGGGTGAGGAGAGCAACGGCAACGTCTCTCTGCTGACGACCCGAGACGCTCCGGTTGCCACACCGGCCGCCGTGGCCCGCGCCGGCCGCTCATGATGATTATTGGGATTCCTCTGTGCTCTCGGATTGGGAAGGTCAGGGGGCAATCGTCATTTCACCACGCGCCTCCCGGAGCGAGCGACGGCGGGGCGCGGGCCACGGCCCCCGGCGGCTCGAGACGCATCACTCTGACGGTGTCGGGTTGTGTAAGGCTCGTCGGTGCGATGAACGGCCCACAGGGCTGGGCAGCCTCAGATGCGGGCTGAGATGTTCTGTTTAATCATCCCGTCACCGAACTGGGATTATTTCGTCCAAATGAGAAAATGATAGCACCCATGTATATCGCCACGGTTGCGGACATTCCAGTGACCCATTGGTTGTTCCCATATTAGCATAAGCGTTACACCACACCACTTCGTCTGCAGTTGGAGTCGTGCATTTACATTTTCTTTCCCGGAGTCTCTGGTTCCCGTCCAATAGCCGTCTACCCGGCGGCAGAGCCCCGGGTGCTCCGTGACCGTGCTCTCCTGAACCGCAGCGGCTCGGGTGGGGAGTGCGGTATGGAGACGGGGCGGGGGCGGGGCAGGGAGCGCTCCTAGGACGAGCAGCTACCTTGCCGCCGGGCTGATGGGCTCAGCAGATGGGCCAATCTGGAGCGTTTTGCCCGTGACCTGGGTCGGCTGAGGGGGTGGGGCCGAGCTTTGGACATGTGTCACAAACGGAAAACGACGGAAAGGACGCTTAGCGCAAAAAATTGACCTGTAATACTGACGAATGTGCCTCACAGACTGAACAATATGGCGACCTGCCTTCCAAAATGTTACGGGATCAGTTACACGATAGGTATTGTGACCTACGCACGTAAGTGCCTGAGAACGAGCTGAGAGTGAGCAGTCACAAATCGATCATATCAGAATCCATGGACTCGCTCAGCAATGTAATGGCTTCTCCCACCGGTATGAAGAAATCGACGACAAAATACGACCTGACCGCGACCTATATTTAAGCGTCGCGCGGCCCCTGACCTCTGACCCGGGCTGGGGTTCGCGGGACGGCGGAGCGGCGGCGAATCCCAGCGGGCCTGCCATGTTGGCCGTCCGTTTATCACACAAATTACACCGTTCGTCGGCCGCAGTGTGGCTCGGTCGTCACGAGCGCTCGGTACGGTACACACAGGGCTGGGCGGCTCGCCGGCTCTGTGACTGGCACTCCGCGGCGCCGACCGTGAGCGGGTGACCCCTGCCGAGATCCGATCGGCACCCGCCGCCGGCCTCAATGTCATGCGTGCACAGAACACATAGCCGGCCCGCTCGAGGCTCGTTCATTGATGAGTAATTGAGTGCTCCTACTCCGTGAATGGTTTCAAGTCTCTTGCTCAATTGAATGGAGTTGTGCGGCGGACTCGTGTAAGAGCGTGATTCCCGCTATCAGATAGAGACGTGTGTAAAAATTATCAATAAAAAAGTACCAACTCATCGCCTCATGAACGTCTCCCAGTTACAATTTATCTATCGATATCACGATGCTGCCTAGGAGGCGTTCATGAACGATAGCTAGGTACTGATTGGGATATGATACATCAAATAAAGACCTCTACATGGAAGCGGTTTGAGGAATTTTCAATTTTAAGATAAGGCAACGACAAAAGTCTGTGTCAACGACTACAACAGGCCATTTATCGCCCGGTAACATTTGATTGGACACAAATAATTTGAAGCATGCAAAAATGCGCCCACCGAACAATTACATCTACCGTTTACGAACACATGAAGTATACACAAGCACATCAAATTATCACAAATGCATCTGCCGACAAACACATAGCACATAACGCCTTATATGCTCACAACATGCGTCCCGTTTTACGTCTACCACCCTACCGTCCACTAACACATTATCCCCGACACAATGGACTCATTTCATGCCTTTACCCGAATGTATGTCATAATTCGTGATGCGCAACCCGTGAAAGACGTTGCAAAGAGCAATTCTAGTTTTAGTGTAGCTAGCGTAGCCCAATTCTAACCTTCTCCTTTGTTTTTCAGTGCTGCTAGTGATGACGTCACTGCTGACCCTGGTGACGTCACAACAGCCGCCGCCCAACTACAGCTACGACGCGCTGCCGGAGACGAGTTTCAGCTGTGAGGGCCGCGTGGTGGGCGGCTACTACGCCGACGTGGAGGCGGGCTGCCAGATGTTTCACGTGTGCGGCACGTCTCAGGTAACGGCGGTGGGAGTGGGGACGGGAGGTCGGTCGAACGAGCCGACCAACGGACCGAGAGGACGACGGGGCGGAAGGGACCGACGGAGAGACGACGGATGGGCTGCTGCTGCTGGAGGACCTGCAGACTGCAGAGACTGAGCTGGATAGCTGACGGCTGGTGGACGAGCGACATTTTACAGCAACCGAGTGAACTACAGTGACCGAGCGAGCTGCAACGACCCGTAACCCTGCGGACCACAGTGACCTCGAGAACCACGGTGACCCAGCGATGACCCCAGTGACCCAACAATGACCGCAGTGACTCAGCAATGACCGCAGTGACCGAACAGCAGTGACTTTATCTGTGACTTGTTGCAGACGCCGACTGAGCCGGCCCAGCCCCGGAGGGACAGGCGACCACGTCCGATTACCAGACTGTGACGGGTCACTGTCCATAGGGTGACATATGGCCACTGGCCATCCCAGATGGATAACCGTCCATCGGACCGTCAGCGATGACCGCTAAAAGACACGGGGTAGATTGGTGCCCTGAATAACTATATAACGATACCGAAAGCAAGGATTTAAACAAAATTCAGATTACAGCGACATTTTAAATGGAATAGGAATAGCCGGGAATCCCCGTCTTCATTCTTCAATGTTACAGACCGAGGAAATGTGTCCAGAGTAATGAGCAGAATATCATGTGACAATTATGTCGAGGATAAAATGTTGTTATATAAATTGTTGGTAACTTTTATTCCGTACGTAAACCACTTACGTTGACCTCTGAAGCTTCATTGAAAACTAATGAAGTGATTCCGATTAAAAAGTATCGATAACGTTATGACGTAGGCGTGTCGAACCTCCCTAAACGTAAAAAGGAATCCCCAGTCGTTGCACTTTTTCCGTAATAGTTATCATTAAAACACTTTATCGATGAAATAACGGCCGATAATGCTGAGAGGCTTCGAGTTATTAACGTTTCTTCTGTCGCAAGAACTCATCATCGATGTAAGTGTCGAGCTCCCCATCTGAAAGAAAGCGTAGCCGACAAGCTCCAGTAACCAAAGGCCCATCAATTTCACTAGCAGCGTCACTGCATTGTCAAACGGGCCTCAGTATTCATAACTTGTGCCCATAGTGCCGCGGTTCGAGCGGGGAGACCTCGGCGGCCACCCTGGCGCGAACGTCCGCCAGCATGACAATGGGCAATAAAAGGGCACTATTCACGACCATACGACCGACAACTCGGCTCGGCAAGAGGCCGGGCCGCGACCTGTTGCAAGCTTCGTTAACTAGTGTCAACAGCGTCAGTAATACCACGCTCTAATGCAGTGTTCTCTTGGCCCATGTATTCATTGTATGGATAATTGGAATTGTTCGTTGCATTTGGTCGATGTGAGTGACCCGACCCCATGACCTGACCTGACCTGATGCTGGGTGTCTCGTCGGCAGAGGACCAGTTTCCGGTTCCTGTGCCCGAACAACACCGTGTTCGACCAGCAGCACCTGATCTGCGCCAACTGGTTCCAAGTCAGTTGCGACCGATCCACGGTCCTGTACGCGCGCAACTTCGAGATCTTCAAAAAGGGATCGGAGAATGAAGTGGAGTTCAACGCACTTGATGAGGAGGATCTGCCCGAGCTGGGGGATTACGATTCTGGTTTCCAGGAGACGTCGTCCGGCGCCGGACGGTTTTTCGGCGGTGGTGGCGGCTCGCGGCGGGTCACGGCCGCTCCGGTGACGCGCCAGCCGGCCTCGCGCGCCCCGCGGAGGTTTGACCTGAGCACGGCGGCCACCACGCCCCGTCCGGCGGCTGCCACCGACAGCGTCAGTTTCCGTGACCAGAGCACATTCGCCACTGCGAGTACGGCTCCGGCGCAGCGCGCGCAGTCCCGCCGACCGCTGCTACCGACACCGCTGCCGCCGCTGGCCCCCGCTGAGACTTCGAGAGTCCCTCCGGCGCCTGCCCCAACCTCGACCCCGACCTCAGCCCCGGTCGGACAGGACGTGCAGCGGGTCACCCTGGGGGAGTTCCGAGCCACCTCTCCGCGGCCGGTGCCGACGTTCACAACTCCGGCTCCGCCACTGCCGACAGCCGCCCCCGCCGCGGCCGGTGGCTCGTTTAGCACACCCGTCCCCGTGTTCACGACCACCGGCCGGTTCCCGTTCGGATTCACCAGCGTGCCTCGCACCAACTTCGCGTTCGGCCGCGGCGGCTCGTTCTCGTTCGGCACGGGCGTGTCGAGCAGAGCGCCGGTGGCGCCGACGGCTGGTCCTCCAACGACCGCTGCTACGTCTCCACCCGAGCTGCCGGAGCTCACCAACGACCTCCGCGAGCAGGAGCAGCTGACCTCGGGTGATTCCCGCAGGCAGTTTGACGGAACCGACCGGAACCGGAACCGTTTGAGGACAGGAGTCTCCGTCAGCAGCACACCAAGGCCGTTCAGCTCCCGCACGCTACCACCGACGACACCGGCGCCGTTCCGCGTCGTGTCCGTCTCACCCGCGTCACCGTTCGTGCGCGGCACGTCGCCGACGACCCGACCGAGCCAGGCCCCCACTGAGTCAGCGACGACGGTCAGCCCGGCAGCAGGCGGCTTCTTCGGGGCCAGTGTGGTGCCGGATGTGGCCTCAACCAGCGGCAGGGCCAGATTTGGAAGCAGGGGACGGACGCAGCCGGATGCTGGTAGCTCGGGGAACTTCGGTGATATCAATGCCATAAATAATATCAACGACATCAACACTAGAACCAGGGATGATAACAGCGCCGAGATCGGCAGAGGCCGACTGGAGGTGACGACCGCGCCGCCCGGCGGTCGTTTCAGCGCCACAGTGCCGACTCGTAGCCCATCAACGAGATTCTCCGGCAGCAGAGTACCGAGCACAGCCCAGCCCTCTAGTGGAGCCAGGGCCAGCTTCCGCCGCCGTCGGCCGTCCGCCGCCACCGCTGCGCCGGCCTCAGAGGGCGCCATCGTCAGCAGGAGGCGCGGCTCGCGGTGGCGCGGCGGCTCCCGGGTCCGGCCCAGCGCCGAGCCGGTGACCGCGGTCAGCCCGGCGGCCGCTGTGGCGCCCTCTGTCAGTCCCAGCGCCGCTGCTCCGAGCGCTGCGGTCGGCGTGTCGAGCCCCAGCCGGCGGCCGGCAGTGGCCCGTCCCGTGCCGCGGCCCACCGCCTCCCCGCCCGCCGAGCTCACCAACGAGATCGACAGCGCGCCGACTCGCAAACCCACGCCGCGCTCGCGCAGCCGCGGCCGCGGCAGTCGCCGGTTCGACCCGCGCCTGCCTGGTGGTGACCTCAGCCCGACCCAGTATGTGAGGACTCGCGGGGGCCGGGGCCGGCTGGCACCGCCTACAGTGCCGCCGCCCACTCTGCCACCCCAGCTGAGCTCCATCTCCGACATCGCGGACGTCGAGGCGCTGACCGACCAGCTGAACCTGCTGGACGAGCAGGAGCTGCTGGAGGAGCTGGAGCGAGAGGACCGCCGCTTCAGGAACGGACCCGAGGCCAACAACAGGTCCATCGACAGCTCGTCTCGACGTCAGAAGCTGCCGGACCGCGGCACCACGCCGGCGCCGCTGCTGATCGCGCGCGGCCCGCCGCCCACCCGGCCGGCGCCGCGGCGACCCACAGCTCCACCCACGACCGCAGCTGCCGTCACCACGCCGCAGATCATCAGAAAGAGGATCCGAGTGCGTGGTAGGCCGAGTCGCCGGCCGAGGGTGGGCGGCCGCCGGAGGACCACCACCACACGGCGCCCCACCACCACTACCACAACTACAGAGACCCCTACTACACCCGCGCCAACCCCGCGGACCCGTCCGGCCGTCACCTTCCCTCCCACCGTCCCACCAGCTCCGACAACCACCCCTGCACCGACCACAGAGGTCAGCACACTTCCCACCAACAAAGAAGCCTCTAATATAGGCCGTCAGAGCGGCGGCTTCTTCCTGCGACCCAAACTACAGCTAAGCTCAGCGCTACCCACCGATCTACAAACCCGTCGTCTGAACGATGTTAACGAGCTGGCTGCCGAGCGAACCGGCCGCTCACGAAACACCAGCCCGATCGCCTTCAGTCGAGGGACGCGCTCCACAACACGTGCGCCGGAGGCCCGGCTCTCGGAGATTCTGTTCGCATCCAGCTCGCCAGGGAGGGCCGGAGGAGGCCGGACCGGAGACGCCGATTATGATTATCAATACTACGACTCCGACTTTAGACTGGAGCATCAGGATGATATTGAAGACGTGAATGATCTGTTCCAGACTCTCAGTAGGAAATCTAGGTGGACGTGAGATGTAATAGGGATTGGACTTGAGGGAGGGGAGGGGTGCCGTCATGAGGTCCCGCCGCGACGGACGTGTCAAAGCGGAATCGGTGAATAGAAGCCCGGTTTCTGAACTAACCGGGCACCGTCTTGTCGCCATTCGTGTTCGTTGTTAGGATAAATAAGCGTGCGGTCTCAGACGTCAGTATTTGGGAGGAGCGGTGTATGATAGTGTTCGTGGCACTGCGAGCGAGCTGAGATATGACTCGAGAGATCACCACTAGCGAGTGAACGGTTCTGTCATGCGACCCCATGGAACTCGCGACTGTGCGAGCGATAGCTTTAGTGTGCATGTGAAATGTGAGCGAATGTCGTGGTGTGACAAATACATTATGTACGAGCTAACTGTAATCATTTGGATTTTCTAGTGAAAAAGTCTCACCTTTTAGTGGCCAAAATTTCATGTCCCCTTAAATGTTCCTGAATAAGGAACACCTTGCTCCTACATCAATTTCCAAACTAGCACCACAGTTTCTTATAACTGTAGCTAACAACAAAAAATACACATAATTAGCTTCAGTAGCTTCACATACAAAATCAATGTTATAACTAGCCTATTTTCGGACTCGCATTCCTTGCGTCCATGTCACCCCAACAACTCGTAGGACCACCTACTCCCAGCAGCCGACTGCACACCCTCGTCCCAGCACCCACCCGCCTCATCGCCAAACACACAGTTATCTCACTTAGCAATCTTTATAAATTGAAATACTACATTTAGCACCAGTCAGAACACAGAGAATCCAGCTGTCGACCGCAAGAGACGCGGCGAGAGGGGAGAATCACAGGCATTAGACGGAGAGAGAAAGAGAGAGACGGTGCACAGAATCCAGAAACACAGAGACGGGCAGTCAGACGGAGACGGCAAAACCGATCAGAGTGCCGGACAGACAGAAGTAAAAAGAGACCGCCCCCAGTGTTAGCGCGTCGGGCAGCCGGCGGCGGCGCCCTCTAGCAAACAGGCTGCCGGCGGTGGGGACGGCGGCGGCGGCGGCCGCCGGCGGCTGTGAGCGGCCCGGCCTCCGCCGGCGGCCGCCGGGCACCGTCCCGCCGCCCCACAGTCGGTACAAAACGCCCGCGACCACCTCTCTGACTCAACTCAGCTCGAACGGCGCGGCGCGCACACAGAGAAAAACACACGCGCACGCGCGCGCGCTCCCGGCGGTCGCGACGCAGCAGGTCGCCGCGGCAGGTGCCTGGAATTGGTGACGCACGAGCCGGCACCAGCCGAGGAAAACATTCAAAAAAGCCTGCTGGCTGCAGCGGAGAGCAGGGCCGGAGAGACCCGACCGAGTGGCTAGCTGTCCGGGAGCTGGGGCGGCGCGCGCCCGAGACCGGCAGATGGCCCGGAAAGGCAGCGGCCGTCCGACAGTCGGGTATTACTTACAGAGCTAGACCACTTCTAACCGAGACGGACACAGCGGCGGGCGGGCGGGCGCCAGCCGGTCCACCGTCGGCCGGCAGACCGGACCAACAGGCGGACAGACAGACAGAGAGTTGGCGGCGCGGCGCGGCGCGCGCGGGACGCGCCTCCATTGTGCGTGACGCGGCCCGGCGGCCGGTCGGACGGGCGGCGCGCGCGCTACAGCAGGCAACACAACTTCTTCCGGCCCAGGTAGCCGACCTTGCCCTTCTCCCTCCCTCGCCGCTCCTTCTGCAACACCGAAACAGCACACGGTTAGTAAATGGCACACAGAATACGGGACACGGTCAGAAAATGGCACAAAGATCATGACTCACGCTTGGAACATGCCAAACCTTCAGTTGGCAATTGGACGAGCAACGTATCAATAAACCTACACTACCAGCAGTGCTGTTCTGGAATGGTTTCATAAAGACGCATCAATCACAAGAACGGTATCGTAGCCATTCGTATGGACTGATAGGGGCTTACGAGTGAGGTAGGGGCTAATCAAGCCTCACTCGAGTAAAAAGAAAAAAGCCCGAGTGTTCCACACCACAGTTCAGGTAAGGTTTGTGAATGGGACCAAGCTCTGCTGGAGCCCAACACTCCTCTCAGCACTACTCACATCCCGTTTAATCTCTCGGACTAATGTGTAGAAGGCGTCGTCCACCCCCATCCGCGTCTTGGCTGACGTCTCGATGAAGGGAATGCCGTAGTTTTTGGCCACCTCCTTGGCCTCGTTCATGTCGACGGCCCGCGTGGCCAAGTCACACTTGTTGCCCACCACTGAAACGGGAGCGCGGTGGGATCGCTGTAATGCTGGGACCACATATAGCCAGAGGGCAAAGATAGGCTGCACGGCCAAAGAAACGGACTAGGGTAGGCACTGTCAAAAGCACAGCCTAACGACAAACAGCACGACAAATGACAGCATCAGCAGAACGACAGGGAAGAAAAAAGACCCAACGAGGTCTGCAGTTGAGAATTGTTGCACACAATCCATAAAGAACATCTGTAACAAGTTTCTTCTAGTCGGCACTCAGCATCCGCTTCTTGCCCGTTGATTAAACAAGTACAGCCCACCGCTAAAGTAATGTGCGGTTTTACCAATCTCAACGGATGGCTTTGACTGGCGATTATTGAATGCGGAGTGATCGAAAAGAAGACGTCAATAGATGAAGTTGCAGCTGCAAGGGTAACGATACAGGTTAGCTACATTTAAAGTTTCATTGTAGTCTGGCTAATCATTCCTAAGCTTCAGAAGCAGAACATACCCAGGACTGAAACCGCACATTACTTATGCCGTGGACTGTACCCTAGCGGGACACTGTGATGAAATGTCACCGTATCGGGAGTAACGCTCGTCCACCCACCATCATCCCACTACCCACCAGCGGTCCACAAATACCGCCCGTAATCCCACCAGACGGCGGCCGTGCGACAGATCTCCGGGAAAGGATCCCGCCCGATCGGTCACCTGACAACCGCCCCTACAATAACGCATTAAGCACCATCGATTCCGCCGGCAGACGAGTTTATCCCCCGAGCCGCCGGCCGGCGCTCGTGTCTTCCTGAGCTGCAGGCCGCGACCGGGCCGCCCCCGCCTGCTGCCGCCCGGGGCAGTCCGAGGGCGCGTCACTGGGCAGGCGGCTCGCCCCGCCCCCCGCCCCGCCACAGGGAGCACCAGCTGACTAGGGGATAATACCCCCGGCGATTAGCCTGGTCGAACAAGCCGTGGACGTTCGCTTAACCCTCGCCGGACCTATTGGTTTTCTACATACGCGCCGGCCGAGGGGGGGGGGGGCGGGTACGACCCCCCTCGCCGTTTCGCCCCTGGTGGAGCTAGCGCGTCGCGGAAAAAAACGAGCGTGTGCGCCGTTACGAGACGCAGAGATTGGTACCCGATTTTAAGGTCCTAGGTCAACCGGTGACCTCTGAGGTCAGGTCAAGTGCCCCAAGGTACGGCTCAGTTTTTGGTGAATAACTTCGCAAAAAACGGCCGCAGAGCCGCGATTTTAGCAGCATCGTGTTCGCCTCGCTCAGGCGCGTCGAATGATATACTTTTTGTCCGGGTCAGGTCAACCTGGGGTGTTGACCTCAGGTCAAGGTCAGGTCAGCACCCCCAGGTCACGAAGTTAGCCGAAAGAGGTCATGTCGCATATCATTCGATTCGGCAGGTCTTCCTGAGTCCATTGGTGGCTTTCCCGACTCGCTAGCTCAATTTGATCAAGAGTTATTGACGAAAAACTAATATGACCTTGATGACGTCATAAATGACGTCACGCAAGGTCAACATTGCAAAAGTGACGCATCTAACCTTGCAAGGAGTGCATCAAATCACGATTCTGTGTGCTTGAGATAGTTGGAGATCGTTCCCGGCGCCAGAATAGCAGTTTGAATTTTTCCCCATTGACTTATAATGGTGAGGTCACAAAAATGACCTGACCTCATATGACCTTTAGGAAAAATCCGAGATATACAAGTTGTGAGACTCATAATGGATACTAGATCCTGCAAGTTTCATTTCCCTGTGACATCTCCTCTGGCAGTGAGGGCGTTGCGAAGTTGCGACATCTGAAGACCGTGCAGAGGTTCACTTATGACGTCATAGGTCAGTGACCTGACCTGACCCAAAAATGCGGTTGGTGTCAAAAGATCCGGCTTGAATCAAAGGTCAGGTATGCCAAGTTTCAGCTCTCTATCGCCAGCGTGCTCGGAGCTATCGCGAAAAAACCCTATGGGGGGGGCGGCACCCGCCCCCCCCCCCTCGGCCGGCGAGGGTTAATGCACTGTCCGGACATGTCTGTATGTCTGACTCAATAGCAGCCAAGCGTTAGCCTTTATTTTTCCCCGATGTAGTGCTTGACACAGTATATGCGCAATAAAATATATAATCTAACTTGCTTTAAATGACGAATTTCCCTGATTGCATTCGAATAGACACACTGGGACTAAAAAAGCACTAGTGCGCATCTTAAATAAAGCAAAGTATATGAGCGACGTTAATCAAGAGTAGCCAGGAAATTAGACGCTTAATGCATTGAATACGTTATCATTTCGAGGGTAATTTCACCATATCTGTCGTATGTCCATGCTTGTCGAGGCAGTAACCAGTAGCGAACGGACACGGCTAAACATTCCGGGCTCAGCTGCGTGACGAGATGCTCAATATTGCATCCAGCGGGGCCATATCGACCCGGCGCGGGGGCCGGTCAGGAGGGGGTGGGGAGGGGCCGCCCGCGACACTGGGTAACCCCGGTGACCTAGCGGTGGTGACAACGAACCCCTGGCCAGCAAGGGGGCCGGTGACGGGGACCATGTCCGTCCATCGACAGAGTTATCGACATGAAGGTCCCCATATCCACCTGGCAATAAAAAAAAAAACGACACAATACTCGACCAAAGAGCTGTCTGTTCCGCCCCATCGGGTTGAAAAAACTGTTAGCTTCCAAGACACAGATCAAAGCCCCTGTGTACATAGAACCCCTGTCCCCCGCCGCGAGTTCTGTCGGCGGCGCGCGGCCGACCCGATACTCACGGATCATGGGCACAATGTCTGCGTCCTTCACCCGTTTGATCTGTTCTCGATAGCTGCTAATGTCCTCGAACGACTTTGAATTGTTGACGGCGAATACTAGCAGGAAACCCTCGCCGGTCCGCATGTACTGGTCACGCATGGCGCTGTGGGGAGAGCGAGCAGCGCCTGTCAGGTCAGGTCAGGTCATCTAGAATGGGACGGGTGAGCCGATGGCTGCACTGAGGCGTCACGAAGGATCGACTTTTCGCTATTTCAAACAACATGCTGTGGCGACAAATGCCGAATTTCCATTATGGAAAGTCGACATGAGCATATCATAACAGCTTGCAAATTACAACTGCAAGTAAGCTACAAAGTATTTCCATGATACTGTGACTGGACATAGGCATTCTGTTCAAT